CGTGGCCGGGCTGGACGGACAGCCTCCAAAACAATACAGAGAAACCCTGTCTCGTAAAACAAAACAAAATAAAAAATTAAAAACTTCTGGTACCCAGTACTCTGTCATTTCACTTGGGCGTCATGAGGGGCCAGTGTTTGTTACCAGGGGAGGGGATGAGATCCTTTTTGGATCACTTATTTCACCCTCTCCTTTTGTTTTGATAAAAGACACAACTGAGGAACAACTAAATAGAAGTATATATGTGTGCTTATCTATATGTATGTGTGTGTACCCATGTGCATTTGTGGTGCCTGAGGAGGACCTCAGACCTCTGGAACTGGAGTTACAGACAATTGTGAGCTGCTACGTGTGTTCAGGGAACTGAACCTGGTTCCTATGGAAGAGTAGCCATTTCTCCCACCCCATTATTTCTATTTTTTAAAAAGTTATGTTAGTCTATGGGTGCCGTGGTAGGCTGTAGAAGTCAGAACAACTTGGAGTTGGCTCTTCTACCTGTGGGTCCTAGGGATAGAGTCCAGGCAACCAAGCTTTGGCAACAGGTGTGTTCACCCTGAGTCATCTCAGCCCTGTCCTGACTTTTGGGAGACAGGGTTTCTCTGTGTAGCCCTGGCTGTCCTGGAAACTCAGTCTGTGGACCAGGCTGTCCTGGAACTTAGAGAACCACCTGCCTCTGGCTCCCACACGCTGGGATTAAAGGCATGCGTCACCACACCAGGTTGTCTTGACTCTTTCTGAAAATTAATTATGCTATTTATGTGGGGCTCTGGGTGATGGCTATGACTGTGCTCATGCATGGAGTGTGTGTGGAGTTTGAAACAACTTGTTACCCAGGTATCTGACTTGCTGAGCCATCATGCTGGGTCTCTGTGTAGTCCAGGCTAGCCTTGAACTCAAGATCTGTCTCTGTCTTCAAGATTGCATAATAAGTACATGTGGGGACTGGGGAGGTTGGATGGTAAAGATCTTGCCTTTTGGTTCTTGGCAATGGGGAGTTAGATCCTCAGGGCTAGCAGGCTAGCTAGCAAGTCAGCTAGCCTAGCTCATTTGGCAAGTTCTAGGCCATTGAGAGATTCTGTCTCAGAACCAAAAAGGTGGCGGCTGGTAACGGAGGTGTGACGCCTGAGACTGAACTTTGTGCACGCCACACACAAAGCTTTAGTATTGTTAGAAAAATCTGAGAGCTGCAGGACGCCTCATCAGAGCTGGGTGGTGATGGGCACACCTTTAATCCCAGCACTCAGGAGGAAGAGGAAGGTGGATCTCTTCAGTTTGAGGCCAGCTTGGTCTACAGAGTGAGTTCTAGCCAGGGCTAAACAGAAACCCCATCTTGGAAAAAAAAAGTGGTAAAGTGGCCGCTACCAAGCCTGATGACCTGTGCTTGAACCCTGGAACCTACATGGTGGAAGGAGATTTGTCCTCTGTCTCTATGTGCATGCCATAGCACTTACTTACATACCCTCCACATACACACAAAGAAACAAAAGTACAAAGAAAAAAATCTGATACTGCATATACTAAATGTCTGCTTTAGCTGGGCGTTGGTGGCGCATGCCTTTAATCCTAGCACTCGGGCCGGGCTGGACCGATAGCCTCCAAAACAATACAGAGAAACCCTGTCTCGAAAAAAACCAAAAAAAAAAAAAAAAAAAATCCTAGCACTTGGGAGGCAGAGGCAGGTGGATCTCTGTGAGTTGGAGGCCAGCCTGGTCTACAGAGCGAGTTCCAGGACAGCCTCCAAAGCAATACAGAGAAACCTTGTCTTGAAAAACCAAAAAAAAAAAAAAAAAAAAAAAAAAAAAAGAAGAAAAAGTCTGCTTTATTGTGTCATTCTTGTAAAATGTGCAGTTAGGAGGACCAGCCAGGCTTGTCCCCATTGGCATCTTTCTCCCTACTGGAGTAAAAAACTTGTCTTGGTTGATACACAGTTTGTTAAAGCATGAAAAATGTGTCACACTGGGAAATAGAGCCGTAGCCGTCCATCAGCCGAAATAAGGAGTGCGGCCTAGAGAAAAGTCCCCTTCCTCCTTAGAGAGCTTAGCCAGGTGTGGTGGCACACACCTTTGATAGCAACCCTAGGACACAGAGACAGATAGATCTTTTGTTTGCCATCCAGGTGTACGAGGAGTTCCAGGACGGCCTGGGCTACATAAGGAAACATCGCTGAAAAATAAAATTGAGGGAAAAACGTGTTTAGAGAACTCAACTTTGCAGTGTCTAAATTGGCTCAGTGAAGGGAAGGCCTGATGAGACTGAAGACCAGCCCCTGCTGGGCCGTAGGGTGGTTAGTGCTGAGGGCAGCTAGGCATTTCCCTGAAGCCTGATAGTCAGATGGAGAGGGGACTTACTAGTGCTTGCTTAAAACTCGGTTCGTGCTTGGCGAGGCCAGTAATAGCCTGGAACAGGGCTTTGAGGAAATTTCAGGGTGCTGGGAACACCCCCCTCCACACACACACACACTCTGGCCACCGAGGGCTATGGTGTAGGTGAAGAGCAGCTAGGTGGGCTTGAGATCCTGAAGAAAGACTGGCTGGGACAGGTCAGGTTAGGACACAGTTATCTAACTGTTTGAACTGTGCTGGTACAGCTTCTTAGTGATGAGCGTGTAGTGAGCCTGAGGCGATAGGCATAAACTTGTTCTGGTCACTGGGGCCTGAAGTGAGCTAGGCACTTGTGGTGCACACCTTTAGTCCCAGCACTTGGGAGGTAGAGGCAGGAGGATCTCTGTGAGTTCAAGGCCAGAGTTACATAGAAAAACAATAGAATGAAATTGCGAGCCAGTCTTATAAAGATAACGGGGCTGGAGAGATGGCTCAGAGGTTAAGAGCACTGGCTGTTCTTCCAGAGGCCCTGAGTTCAATTCCCAGCAACCACATGGTGGCTCACGACCATTTATAATGAGATCTGGTGCCCTCTTCTGGTGTGCAGGAATACATTCAGGCAAAAGGCTGTATACATAATAAATAAATAAATCTTTAAAAAAAGATAATGCTCATATTCTCTCACTATTGTATTCTAAAAGTGTGTTTTGCCCCTTTGGGTGGCAGGATGGAACCCTTAGCTGTGTTGTGTGCATGGTAGGCAAGTGTTATACCAGTGACCCATGTTTCCTAAATAACGTGTGCTTGTGTGTACACAGATACATTTTTGAGACAGGTCTTGTAATGTAATCCAGGATGGCCTTAAAATCACGGAGTTTCTCCTGCTTCCGCCTTATTTATGTGCTGGCATTACAGGCCTGGTTGGGAATATTAATGTGTTTTGAAGAAATACTGTTTGACAATTGGGTTGATTTAGTTGATTTCAACTAACTACTCTGGGATGTCTGAAGTATTCTTACTATAGTAGTGTGCTTATTTTAAGATTGTAGGTTCTGAGGACCTTTTAAGTAGGTCTAGAGAACATTGCTATTTAGTGCTTTTGGGCAGAAGTAGCTGTCAGTGGTCTTTCTGTCATGGAGGGGTTCTTGTATGGTACCACAGCCCAAGAGACTAGCTCCCAGAACTGCTCCAGGGTAGCGAAAAGAAACGCCAGCAGAGTAGCAGGACTTAGGAAAATCTCTGTTTGAAGGGAAGGTAACTTTATTATTACTGTCTCTTGAAAAACGACACTCTTGTCCCTTCAGAAAAACTGTAGACAGTGCATAAGTGACTTATTCAGAATCACGTGGCATCTCTTGAGTAAACAGTAAGAAACAGCCATCCTGATACATAAGGGATCACACGGTTTCTCTCAGGCTTAGAATGAATGATACTGACTGGCTGGAAGTGAGTAACCATGGCAACACTTGGGGGGGCAGGCTGCAGGCATGTCCTCTCCACTCATAGCCTGAGACATCATGGAGTGTGACCTTGAAATTCAGGACCTAAGCAGTAAACAGTTGGCTTGTAGCATAAGGTTGTGAGTCTGCAGAAAGTTCAATGCTGAGTTGTGTCTTTTATGTCATCTGCTAGGCTTTTTAAAAAGCAAGTGAGAAACTGGCACTAAAGTTGTTGTTTGTTTATGCCAGCCTTGGTACAGCAGTAGACACTGAGAAACTTGTCTTCAAGCAGTTTGTCTACAGGGCAACTGTCTGTTTGCTCTGAGGTCTGTAATTGTCTTAACATGGAGTAAAGGGAATAAAGGCCTGCCTAAGAAAGTGTATTTTATTCACCCAAATTACACAGTATAAGAAGTCATCATTCCATCAATTCACAGACATAGTTATGCCCCGAAAGTGGAAAACACATCACCAATGGGCCATGAAAAGAACTCCACAGCTGTTCTTTTTAGAGAGAAATTGTGGCAACACATGAGAAGTTATAGACAGAAACAAGCAGTTCCCACAGCCATTAACCTCAAGATCTTTCTCCCCGACAGAGAATTATCATCTGGTGGATCACTGTTGAATATTAGCTGTCATCTGCTTTATATTCGTAATGGCCTCTGGCAATATGATCTGTTAGTTTTTTTTTTTAATCCCTTTCCTCAGACAACTCACAATGGACAGTTTTTGTGAATCATGAACCTTTGGAAAAAAAATCCTATAGGCATGTGTATTCTCATTCTGTCTCTGACTCTCTGTGCACTTGTTGAGGAGACTAGTTTGGTAAGGGGAAGCAGCTTTTGGAATGTTGAGCACATAGGAGTCTAGCTGGAACAACCCTGGCTAACTTGATTGAATTCGATAACGTCACTATCAAGCTGCTAGTCATTCTGTGAATTCATTTCCTGTTGATTCACTTTCTGATGTGTAGTATAGGTATGATACTAAGTCTTCTGTGACTGGCAGGATGCTGTCTGAATTTTGCCATCATTTTAACTTCTGAGAAACAGTTGCTCATATAGTATCAGTTTATTAGTTGTCATAATTGTTAGATAAGCATTGTATTAGTTTGCTTGTTTTATAAAAGTTACTTGAGCCTTCTAACGTGCCAGAAGTTTCTAAACAAGCCTTAATGAGCGCTTCCTTAAAAGTGTTTATTTGTGGGTTATTAACCAAATTCTATATTTCTTTTTAGCAACAGTTCTTGTGACTTCTCACCAGGCGATTTGGTTTGGGCTAAGATGGAAGGTTACCCTTGGTGGCCTTGCCTGGTTTATAATCATCCCTTTGATGGAACATTCATCCGGAAGAAAGGGAAATCGGTCCGTGTTCATGTCCAGTTTTTTGATGACAGTCCAACCAGGGGCTGGGTTAGCAAAAGGCTGTTAAAGCCATATACAGGTAAGAGATACAGGGTGAGTGGGAGAGGGGAGACTGATTCTCCATTATACAGTGAAATTGTGTGTGTTGGGGGGGTTTCCATAGCAAATTGCAGAAATAGCAGTTGTAAAATACAGCATAATAAAGAGAGGGGATGCAGCTGGTCTTAGCTACTTCATTTTGTATGGAACTTTTATTTTTGTCTTTTGAATGACTTACAGCAATTAAAGTCCTGCGAGGAAAATTTCATCTCTTGATGGGAGTTAGTTAATTTCCTAGTTAACTGTGAAACAGACATGAGAAGTGTAAGAAGTTAAATTAGCTCTATTTTGAATGGTAAGAAGGTAGTATAAGCAGGAGAATAGCATGGCCTCAAATTGTAACAAATTGAGTATGTTCGAATTGTTTCACAGCAGAAGCCTTCATAGGCGCAGCCTTATTTGCACAGACACCAACAATGCTGCATATTTAACCTCACATGAGCTAAGGGTATTGTCTCCAGTTATATGCAGTGTACCTACAGTGTTGCAGGATACAGTACACTGTACATTGTCCACATCCTTTATGCCCAGACATCCCACGCTAGCACACTGAACTCTGGTATGGGAAAAAACAGGGTGAGTTTCTCAGAACTCTTAAGAACCACACCTTTGGTTAGTACGCTTGTCCTGCAAAAGGTAGGTTCATTGAAAGCACCATGTCAGAATGGAAAGAGAACCAGGAAGTTGAGTCTACTCTTTTACGTACCTGCTGTATAATCTTGGTGAATGATACTGTTACTACTCATATATAAATGATTTTTAAAAGATTTATTTATTATGTATACGGTGTTCTGCCTGCAAATATTCCTGCAGGACAGAAGAGGGCACCAGGTCTCATTACAGATGGTTGTGAGCCACCATGTGGTTGCTGGGAATTGAACTCAGGACCTCTGGAAGAGCAGTCAGTGCTCTTAACTGCTGAGCCATCTCTCCAGCCCCATAAAGTGACTTCTTTTGGCAGGTAGCAGATGACAAATGAGTTCTGTAGGGTTAATTTTAATATTTTAAAACTGCCTGGGTTCCTGACCTCTTACGTTGTTTCTGTGCGTGTGAAGTGTTGTGTCTTGTCTTTTAGACTCTGTGCTTTGTTTTTGGGCTGAGGGTATATGCTTTGGTGATAGAGCCCTTGTCAAAATGTGCACAAGTATAAGGCCTTATTTTTTCCTTCTAGTGCTGGGGAAAGTGTAGGCCTGGTTGTCCTGGGTATCGTTATGCTGACTAGGCTGGGATTAAGGGAGTGGTGGGGCTTGTTTACTTTTTGGGACTAAATTGTACAGTCTACTTTCAGCTCATTTTGAATTTGCTTTTGGTTTTGTTTTGTTGTTGTTGTTTTTGGTTTTTCGAGACAGGGTCTCTATGGCTTTGGAGGCTGTCCTGGAACTCGCTCTGTAGACCAGGCTGGTCTCGAACTCACAGAGATCCGCCTGCCTCTGCCTCCTGAGTGCTGGGATTAAAGGCGTGCGCCACCAACGCCCGGCTTGAATTTGTTTTTGTAACAAGGTCTTTTTACATAGCCCTGGCTGTTCTGGAACTTACTTTGTAGACCAGTCTGGGCTCAAACAGACATCTCCCTGCCTCTGCTTCTCTATGCTGGGATTAAAGGTGTGTGCCATCACAACCTGTCTGCTTTGAATTGAGTCTTCCTCCTTTAGTTTCTCTGAGCTGGGATTACAATCCCACTACTAGGTTAGGTCCCAGCAAGTCCCTAATTTCTTTAAAAAAAAAAAAGTTGTTTTAATTAGCTAGCCAAGAGCATGGACGGAGAGGCCTCTTTTGTTCAAATCTGTCTTGTAGGTACTGGATCAGGTGTGTATGGGGGTGTGGCGTGGTGTGGAGTGAAGCTACAGCGGGCACTGGGGAAAGTTCAGATCCACCTTCCAGCTGATAACTTTCGAGACAGGGTTTCTCTGTGTGGCTTTGGAGGCTGTCCTGGAACTTGCTCTGTAGCAAGTTTACAGAGATCTGCCTGCCTCTGCCTCCCGAGTGCTGGCATTAAAGGCGTGCGCCACCCAGCTGCTAACTCTTGTTGCAGGTTATAGCTTTTGCTCTTTAGGTAAAGGGTAAGTTGTATCTTCAGTTTGTCTTAGATGGTTCATAAAAGGTGTTAGTACCACCAAAGGGTAGGCTGTCCTGTTTCCATGTGCAGACAGAGGGTGATAGAATGCTTTGGATGTGTTAATTTAGACATTTGGCTTTTTCTTCCAGTCATGGTTCTATTTAGCAGAAGAACAGAGCAAAGCCACTTCTGTTTTCCGTTAACGTTAAATTGGTCATGCTAAGTTTTTGTTGACTAGATGAAAGTGTTTTCACTTATGATATTGATGAAAATCAGGTTCTAGAGATTGAGTCTTGGGTCCATGGTAGGCCGACATTCAGCCACTGCATTACATTCCCATAAAATAAATGTTAAATGAAGAAGAGTTGTATCTTAAAGCAGAGAGGTCTTTGAATGTTAGGTTATGGTGGTATTTGGAGGAAAAACTAAATGGTAGGCTACTTGCTAAAGAAATGCAGGTTGGTTTCCTTTTTTTTTCCCCCTGAGAGTTGTATGTAGCTGAACATGCCTTGAGCTCCAGATGTCTTCTCTCCCAAGGGCTAGCTACAGATTACACTTACTGTTACCTCTTCTGGTTTACTGGGTTAATGGTGCAGGGGATACAACCCAGGGCCTCCCTCATACATGCTAGGCATGAACTTTACCAATTGAGTCACATTCCAACCTGGCTATCCAGTTGTTTATTTAAGTAAGTCTCATCTGTCTTTGGGACAGTTTTACAAAGAGTCCCTAACCATCAATCTTGTTGATGTTGTAATTTGACCAGCTATCCAGCCACTTTGTTCTCATTGTTAAGTTTATTTCTAGGTTCAAAGTCCAAGGAAGCCCAAAAGGGAGGTCATTTCTACAGTTCAAAGTCTGAAATACTCAGAGCAATGCAACGCGCAGATGAAGCCTTAACTAAAGACAAGGTCAAGAGGCTTGAGTTGGCAGTTTGTGATGAGCCTTCAGAGCCGGAGGAGGATGAAGAGACAGAGGTCAGGCCTTCAGTTCTCTTAAGGGGTGATGGGGAGAAATGATGTATCTGTGATGCACACACTTTTAATCCTAGCCCGTGGGAGGCAGAGGCAGGAGGATTTCGTGAGTTCGAGGCTAGCCTGGTCTACAGAGCCAGTTCCAGTACAGACGGGGCTGTTACACAGAGAAACCCTGTCTCAAAACAAAACAAAAACAACGATGTGAATGTCCAGTGTGCTTATATGTATATGCATATACCTGTACCTTCCCTGGATTGGACGTTAGCTTACTTAGATTTCCAACAGTTTCCTCCCCCTTTTTTGACAGTCTTTGTAGCCGAAGCTGGCCTAAGTTACAATCTTTTTGCTTTTTGCCTTTCAAATATTGGGATTACAGACTGTTATACATATTGTCTCCCAGTCCTGGGGATTGAACCCAGGGTCTCATACATGTCAGGCCAGTGCTCCACCACTTAGCCCATCAGCGCCTTCATAGAAAAAAAGCTATTTTTTAATTTGAGACAGAGTGTTGGCAAGTTGCTCAGGCTAGCCTAGAACTACCAGCTCAACCTCACAAGAAGTTGGATTACAGACCTGTGGCATCAGGTTCAGTTTATTTTAAACTTAGTATAAACTGAAATAGCTTTAAGAAAGAACACTTTCTCAAGGGCAAGATTCCACAGTAGTATTGTTTCTGTTTCTTTGAGACAGGCTCTGTGTATCCCAGGCTGGCCTTGAACTCACATGTAGGGGAGGATGACTTTAGTGATTCTCCTGCTTCTGCCTCATTCCTGCTGTAGGACCCAGAAATGTGCATGTTAGTCACCTGAGCTACATCCCTGCCCCACGATGGCCTCTATCCCAGGGATCTTTATGCTCCAGCCTCTGAAGTGCTGGGGTTATGGGTGTGAGCCGTAATGTCTGGGTTTTGTTGTTTTTCCTCCTGGCAGGCGCCTGCAGCCTCTGTGTCTGACACGAGTGAAAAAGACCAGAGTGACAGTGAAGAGGAGCCGCAGCCTAAGACGCAGGGGCCTCGTAGGAGCAGCCGGCAGGTCAAGAAGCGAAGGGTCATATCTGACTCGGAGAGTGACGCTGATGGCTCGGACGTAGAGTTCAAGCCGGACACGAAGCATGAGGGAAGCAGTGAGGAGGAAATGAGCAGTGGGCTTGGAGACAGCGATAGTGAAGGCATGGGCACCTTTGGCAAGGGTGCTCCAAAGCGGAAGAGAACAGTGGCAGGTCACAGTGCCTTCAGAAGGAAAGCTTCAAGGAAGGAAACCCCCCCAGCCACCAAACGAGCAACTCAGATTTCCTCAGAAGCCAAGAGTACCTTGAGCGCCTTTTCTGCTCCTGCAAATTCTGAATCCCAGGCCCACGTCAGTGGAGGAGGCGATGACAGCGGTGGGCCCACTATGTGGTATCATGAAACTTTAGACTGGCTTAAGCCAGAAAAGAGAAGAGATGAGCACAGGAGACGGCCCGATCACCCCGACTTTAATTCTTCCACACTCCATGTGCCTGAAGATTTCCTTAACTCCTGTACCCCAGGGATGAGGAAGTGGTGGGAGATTAAGTCTCGGAACTTTGATCTTGTCATTTTTTATAAGGTGGGGAAGTTTTACGAATTGTACCACATGGACGCTGTTGTTGGAGTCAATGAGCTGGGGCTGGTGTTCATGAAGGGCAACTGGGCCCACTCTGGCTTTCCGGAAATTGCATTTGGCCGATTTTCAGATTCCTTGGTGCAGAAGGGCTATAAAGTAGCACGGGTGGAGCAGACTGAGACCCCAGAAATGATGGAGGCGCGATGCCGGAGGATGGCCCATGTATCCAAGTTCGATCGAGTGGTGAAAAGGGAGATTTGCAGGATCATTACCAAGGGCACACAGACTTACGGGGTGCTGGAAGGCGAGCCCTCTGAGAACTACAGTAGGTACCTTCTTAGCCTTAAAGAGAAGGAGGAAGATGCTTCTGGTCACACTCGTGTATATGGTGTGTGCTTCGTTGACACGTCACTGGGCAAGTTTTTCATGGGTCAGTTTCCAGATGATCGGCATTGTTCCAGATTTAGGACACTCGTGGCACACTATCCTCCTGTACAAATTTTGTTTGAGAAGGGAAACCTCTCAGCAGAAACCAAAACAGTCCTGAAAGGTTCACTGTCCTCTTGTCTTCAGGAAGGCCTGATACCAGGTTCTCAATTTTGGGATGCCACTAAGACTTTGAGAACACTGCTTGAAGGAGGATATTTTCCTGAGAAGTCAGAAGGCAGTGGTGCGGTACTCCCTGAGGTGCTTAAAAGAATGACCTCAGAGTCAGACTCTGTTGGCCTGACACCAGGGGAGAAGAGTGAATTGGCCCTCTCTGCTCTAGGTGGTTGTGTTTTCTACCTCAAAAAATGCCTGATTGACCAGGAGCTTCTGTCAATGGCTAATTTTGAAGAATACGTTCCCCTGGATTCTGACACGGTCATGACAGTAAGACCTGGTGCTCTCTTCACCACAGCCAGTCGGCGAATGGTACTAGATGCAGTGACATTAAACAACTTGGAGATTTTCCTGAATGGGACAAATGGCTCTGCTGAAGGGACCCTGCTAGAGAGGCTCGATACGTGCCATACTCCCTTTGGCAAGCGGCTCCTGAAACAGTGGCTTTGTGCTCCCCTCTGTAGCCCCCGTGCCATCAGTGACCGTTTAGACGCCGTGGAAGACCTGATGGCTTTGCCTGACAAGGTCGCTGAAGTCGCAGACCTCCTAAAGAAGCTCCCAGATCTTGAGAGGCTACTGAGTAAGATCCACAACATTGGATCTCCCCTGAAGAGCCAGAACCACCCGGACAGCAGGGCTATAATGTACGAAGAAACCACATACAGCAAAAAGAAGATCATCGATTTTCTGTCTACTCTAGAAGGATTCAAAGTAGTCTGTAAGATTATAGGGCTTATGGAGGATGTCGCTGACAGTTTTAAGTCTAAAACCCTCAGGCGGGTTGTTACTCTCCAGACAAAAAATCCCGAAGGGCGCTTTCCTGATCTGAGTGCAGAGCTGAACCGATGGGATACGGCTTTTGACCATGAGAAGGCTCGGAAGACTGGACTCATCACTCCCAAGGCAGGCTTTGACGCCGATTATGACCAAGCACTTGCTGACATCAAGGAGAATGAACAGAGCCTCCTGGAGTACTTGGATAAGCAGCGCAGTCGCATTGGCTGCAGGACCATAGTCTACTGGGGAATTGGTAGGAACCGCTACCAGTTGGAGATTCCAGAGAATTTTGTTACCCGTAATTTACCGGAAGAATATGAGTTAAAATCTACTAAAAAGGGCTGTAAACGATACTGGACCAAAACAATTGAGAAGAAATTAGCTAATCTTATAAATGCTGAAGAACGTAGGGACATGTCTTTGAAGGACTGCATGAGGCGGCTGTTCCATAACTTTGCTAAAAATTACAAGGACTGGCAGTCTGCTATAGAGTGCATTGGAGTGTTGGGTAAGGCTTTAAACAACTCTGTTCCTGTCCCCTAGGCTTTGTTCTCCAAACATGGGTGTGTTCTCTAAACATGGGTGTGTTGACATGCTTGTTTGGATCAAACTGTGTTGCAGAAAGCGATTGAATTTTCTGAATCTTGGATTTTTAGCCATTAATAATTGCCTTATGACATTCTTTCCCCCTCCATTCTTGGAATAATTGAGGTAAGAATTTTGGTTTTTTGAGACAGAGTTTCTCTGTAGCTTTGGAACCTGTCCTGGAACTCATCCTGTAGACCAGGCTGGCCTTGCACTCAGAGATCCACTTGCCTCTGCCTACTAAGTGCTGGGATTAAAGGTGTGCACACCACCGCCGGGCTTCAGTTTTCATTTAACAAATGCTTATTGGTACTATGTCTTTTTTTTTTTTTTTTGTCTGGGACAGAATCTTTAGCCCAAGCTTACTTTGAGCTCCTTGGCAATCCTCCTGCCTCAGCTCCCTACCTGCTGAGATTACTGAGAAAGCTGAGAGTAAGGTACTACTCTCTGGCTTTCACAGTTTAATTTGCCATGGATCAAATTAACCTAGAGTCTGTGCATGCTTGGGCAAACATTGCCACTGAACCAACTCTTGAGCTCAAATTACTTTTGTAATTTGAGGGTTTTTGTTTGTTTGTTTATAAAGCAGAGAGAGTAAATTTCGTTTTATTATTTGTGGTTCTTCCTTCTGTATTTCCTCGACTCAGATTTCCATGGAAATAATTTTAGAGGGCAGAGGACTGGGCAAGGTGGGTCTAGGCTTTGTGTGACCTGTATCTCTAGTCCTTGTATGGAATCATGCCCTGATTTGTGTGCTTATAATTTGGTAATGTTAAAATATCAGGACTACTGTATCTGGAACCATTTGGGCATCAGCTTTTTAAAAATATGGCAACCCAAGGTATTATACTGAGATTTTAACACAAAACCCTCATCTGAATACAATCATCAAATGGACTGGAGCAGTAAAACCTTTCTTTCGCAGCACGTAACTCTAAATCGGTCCATCTGTCTGACTCTAGCTGTTCCTCAGCACTAGCCGTAAGGTCCTGTCACCTGAGGCACTTGGTGAATCTGGCTGTACAAGCACCCCACCCCCATGGAGGAGGGGAGAGAGAGCTGAGAACTGCCAGGATGGAAACTTCTCCTGTCATTGAAGACATGGAAAACACCCAGGCTAATGACAACTTGTTTTCAGTAACAGCATTTTGTTGTTCTGAGACAGGCTCTTACTGTGCGGCCTTTGGCTTTCCAAGTGCTGGGATTAAAGGTTCAGTACCATGCCTGGCACTTTGAGCATTTTAGGACAAAATGGAGCATACTGCCTTTACTGAGTAGTATAATGCTTATGTATGTTATGGGGTTAGGCATGTGACAGTTCCCGTGGAGGTGGAGAGGACATCTGAGTGGGAATTAGCTCTCCTTCCACCATGCAGATCCTACAGATTGAACTAAAGTTACTGGGCTTGGTGGCAGGCACCTTCAGCCTGCTGAACATCTCACTGGCCCATTTTTAAAAGCCATTTTGTAGAAACTGGAATAAGCTAAGTCCTGTGTAGTGGGCACGACAGTATACCCAGCAAGAAATTTAACAAAACCTTCTTTTGACAGATGTTTTACTGTGCCTGGCTAACTATAGTCAAGGAGGAGATGGTCCTATGTGTCGCCCAGTAATTCTGTTACCAGGAGAAGACACACACCCCTTCCTAGAGCTTAAAGGTTCACGACATCCCTGTGTTACAAAGACTTTTTTTGGAGATGATTTTATTCCTAATGACATTCTAATAGGCTGTGAGGAAGAAGCAGAAGAAAATGGCAAAGCCTATTGTGTGCTTGTTACTGGACCAAATATGGGGGGCAAATCTACACTCATAAGACAGGTAATATGCTTCATATCCTATTACTTGGAAAGTGATTGTAACGTGAGGGGCAAATGTACTATAGTCCATTTTCCAGAAAGCACAAAGTCATGTATTTGTATCAGTCAGATGCCTCTTAGCTAACGTGAAGGTGGTAATGCTCTGGTGGTAGAAAACTCACCATTAGGTGTGTGACCCTGGCCTTGATTCTCATGAGCAACAAGGCAGGAAGGGAGGTTTTAGGTGACAAGTGTCTTTGATGTAGAGATCATATGATAAAATAATGGTAGCTTTATTTTGATGCTGGGGATTGAGCCCAGGGTCTCATGTGTGTACACGTTAAAGCTGGTTATATCATCTCTAGCTGCACTGTCTTCCCTCAGCTATTAGAGGAAACAAAGCAGCCATTTTGACATACTTGTCTCTTCTAATTACTACACTTAGCCAGCCACAGAGCTGAAATTGGCCTTTGAATTTCCAAAAGGCTGTAAAGAATAGGCACATGTTACATCATTGGTATCTAATTTGCTAGTGGCTGTATCACATGTATTTTTCAACTTTAAAAGAATGTGACAAGTATAGGGGTTATGCATCCAGGGCTGGCTCTCAGTTTTAAGGCACTTCCTCTTGATCTTGCCCTTCTTTTAATGCCAGTCAGAACACCCCTTTCCTCTCACCTTCACAGGCTGGTCTTTTGGCTGTAATGGCCCAGCTGGGCTGTTATGTACCTGCTGAAGAGTGTCGGCTCACACCGGTAGATAGGGTGTTTACCAGACTTGGTGCCTCAGACAGGATAATGTCAGGTGAGTTATTCTTTATACTCCACCCCTAAGGCTTTTACAATCCAGTTGGCAGTGATTAAAAAACAGCTGCCTCTTGTGTTAAACTTTGTAGTTTCATCTCTTGCTTGTCCTGTTCACATAAGATATAATCTGGTGTTAATGCAGTCCTATGTCCTTTTTTAGGTGAAAGTACATTTTTTGTTGAGTTGAGCGAAACTGCTAGCATACTTAGGCACGCAACAGCACATTCTTTGGTGCTTGTGGATGAATTAGGTAAGAAGCAGTTTTTGTTTGAATGCTGTCTTGAAAACACTAGAAGTACTCCTTTCTAAAGACCCATTCCCAGGAAGTTAGCTACTATGACTGTACACTTGTATCCCTTCTAGCAGTACTGGGGCTGAACCTTAGTCTCCTGTATGTTAGGCAAGAGAAACACATTGCCCATCTCCTTCCTCCTCCTCTTAAATAAATGATGTGTATGTGCCATCATTTAAGGGCATATATTGCTATTCTATAGGAACAGAGTTCATTTCTAGCGCCCACACCATGCAGTGCCCTTAGATTGATCTCCTGGAACTGTAGACAGATTTTCAAGATGGGGTTTCTCTGTGGCTGTGTTGGAACTTGCTCTGTAGATCAGGCCTACTGGGTAATTTTTGACAGGGCTTCTAACTAAGTTGTTCAGATTGGCCTTGAACTCCTGAGAAAGCTGGGTTATTAAGCCTGTGACAGCTTTAAGTCTTCTAAACTTGTTAAATCAACTGTGTACTGGGGACTTGCTGCCTGGGACTGATGATACTCATTTGAGATGGAGGATCAAATGTTTGTTGTCCCTGTTCCTAGCACCTCTTAATGTACAGTACATTTTACTTTCACAGGAAGAGGCACTGCAACTTTCGATGGGACAGCCATAGCCAGTGCAGTTGTCAAAGAACTTGCTGAAACTATAAAGTGTCGAACATTGTTTTCTACACACTATCATTCATTAGTAGAAGACTATTCTAAAAATGTTTCTGTGCGCCTAGGACACATGGTATGTGGAACTAATCGAGCATTTTTTATTGTCAGCACATAAATCATAGAGTCATTATAAAACAATGTCTCTGGTTTTGAAGGCTTGCATGGTAGAGAACGAGTGTGAGGACCCCAGCCAGGAGACTATCACCTTCCTCTACAAGTTCATCCAGGGAGCGTGTCCCAAGAGCTACGGCTTCAATGCAGCAAGGCTGGCCAATCTTCCAGAGGAAGTCATTCAAAAGGGACACAGGAAAGCAAGAGAATTTGAGAAGATCAATCAGTCATTACGACTATTTCGGTAATTATTTCTAGATAAAGAGTAGTTTTCCTATAGCTGACTTTGTAAAGAGTTGGAAATCTGGCACAGAGACAAAATATTTTTTTTTTTTTCTTTTTAAGGGAAGTTTGTCTGGCTAGTGAAAGGCCAACTATAGACGCTGAAGCTATCCATAGGCTGCTGGCTTTGATTAAGGAATTGTAGACTACATTGGAAGCTGAATTGACTTGACAAAGGTGGTAAATTCAGACAACATTATGATCTAATAAACTTTATTTTTTAAAAATGACCATTTTTCCATTTTCTTTCTAGGAAATTAAACCCTTTTAATTCTCATCTACCTTCTACATAATGGTTATTGAATACTCCACAATATATTAAGTCTAGATGTTATGGTACATGCATACACTTTCAGGCTGTTTATACCCACTGTCACCAATACACATAAATGGGGGGGGGGCTATGAAACTGTTTAGGGCTGTATATATACTGGTCTCAGCTTAATGCAGGAAATTGCTTTAATTTCCAGCCATTTTGTCTAAACTGTTCAAATAAAAACTATGAACAGAATTTAAATACAGGCCTGTTTTGAAGAGACTTTCTAAAGTGAACTTTAAAACATAGTAGTTTTTACCCTTCACAAAACTGAGATACAAGAATACTTTGTTTTACAGTGCATCCCTTCCTAGGAAGTCTCATTAAAACACTCAACTGTTTTCTAGGGGTGTTTTTTTTTTTTTTTTTTCCTTGAATGCTGCAAAGGAGAGGGAAGGAAATAATAGTCTTAACTTTTCTTAAAGGATACCAGAAACATTGCTGGATATAATTTAAGATTAGTGTTTTTCTCTTTCATAGAAAGAACGTACATACTGGGACATGAGTACAGTTACAGCAAGTCTAGGTGTGCTAACAAAACAGGGCACATTCAAGTACAATAAGATTTTGCTTGAAATTAAAAACAAACTACATGAGATTAAAGCATTAAAATCATATTCTCAATCTGAATACATGTTAAAAAATCAATGCAGAAGTGCTAGCTCACGTTTTTACCATATTACAAAAGCAATTGGTACCCATGTCCATAAAGGCAGCAACAAAGCTGCTGTCTATTGAAGATTACTACTGCAAATCGGACTGCATTCAATGCTAGCTGTAAAAACACCAGCTTTTTCAGAAGTTGGTATCTGTACAAAATTGCAGCTTATTTTCTTCACTTCTGTCCCTTCAAAAGTCTTACACAGTAATGCTAAAACACCCAGCTTTGAGATCCTGAGTCAATATATTGCCACTTTCTTTTTGGTAGCTTGAGCTTCATAGTGTCAACTGACCTTGCGTATCCACTTTTCAGTACAGTCTCTTTCTGTAGCATGGGCAAGTATTTTAAATCTTCCAAATGTTTTAAGTTATGGTGTTAGAATGGCAGGACGTTTTCTTTAGAGAAGGAATTCAGTTGTGCTGCAATGTATTAGATTCTATAGGTGGAGCAGAGTCATATAATGTGTCTGTATCATGAGTAGGTTCACCAGCTAATGTACAAGGATTGGACAGTGTTCCAGCACCACAGTCACAGAAAAACCTAAAGGAAAATGAAAAACCGAAAATTAGCAAAGCCAAAGGAAGTGACTGGGCAATATAGCAACAAGTATTCTACATACCTGTCGTGTCTAATAAATTCTACATCGTGTCCCTGATGGCACTTCTTAATGCAATTCACACATATGGCATTTCGATCTGTGGTGTTACAAGTATGACATCTAAAAAATAAAACATTGTGTTATTGAACTTGTCAGGAATTTAGAACCATGAATTTTTATTACTCTGGCCTTTTACTGAATTTTGGTAGCTGTCTAGAGTCTAGACTGAAGGGAAACTAGTATTGTGTGTCTTCACAGCAACAGTGGGAATGTTACTGTTTTCAAAGCAGGCACTTGAGAAGCAGACAAGTTGATTTCTGTGAGTAAGGCCAGCCTGGTCTGTAACTTAATGATTTTTTTTTTTCCTCTTTTGGTTTTTTGATACAGGGTTTCTCTAGCTTTGGAGGCTGTCCTGGAACTAGCTTTTGTAGACCAGGCTGGTCTCAAACTCACAAAGATCCACCTGCCTCCTGAGTGCTGGGATTAAAGGTGTGTGCCACCACCACCCAGCTGTAACTTAATGACATCAGTTAACAGTTCTACATCTCCCTCACCCAGTGTTTATTTACATCTCCCTCACCCAGTGTTTATTCTAACAGCTCAGTTCAGACAACAGAACCAAAGATATTAGGCAATGACAATTTAAAGGGAATCACTAACTTCTCTTCTGCATTCAAGGAATTTATAAATATACCTGTAGAAGTCATGCATGGGATAGCTGGTATAACTTGATATTTTATATAAACATTGTCCTCTACTAACAGCCTTTTCTATTGCATCTTGATTGTTCATTATTTTGTTATCTGTAAAAAAAAAAAGTGTTTAACAGCTAGCCAAGGATACAATCATTTATAAGCAAGAAAAGAAATAGGTTTTCCTTGTGTAAAATATCCCAACTCCTAGAACAAGCTTAAGTCAAACTCCAAACTAGTCATTTAAAATTGCTAATGTGGAAAGTGAAAGAAGGAATTAATGGCTTCTGATTGAAGGACGAGACTCCAACATACCTTTCATTGTCACATTAACACCAGATGCTAAAAATAAGCCTCCAAATCGGTTGTTAAAAATCTGATTGCCTTCTAGGGTTGCAGTTGCATGATTTGTAATTTCAATACCTGCAGTAAAATTTACAAACAAGTAGATGCATAATCACTTTGTTTTTCAAGACAGGGTTTCTTTGTTTAACAGCCCTGGCTGTCTTGGAACTCACAGATATCCACCTCTGTCTTCCCAAGTGCTGGGAATAAAGGCGTGCGCCATCACTGCCCGGCTACTTTACTGGGAAGGATGTAAGCTGGCACGTTCACATTTGTTTGCTGACTATCTAAAGAACACATTTTAACCATCAACAGTAACATTCACTTTTCAATGCTGACAGGGATGCAGTCACACAGGACAAGTAAACTGGGGGACTAATACTGTTGTTACAAGAGAAAGGGAGACAAGGATAACGCTAAAAAAAAAAAAAAGAGGACAATATCCAGTACTATGCTGAAATAATAGTTTTCCCTTTTAAAATTTACCTGTATTCACAATCTAACTACAACTTTATTCCAGTTAATGGTAAACATTAAGAGTAGTTTCTTGAAATCAGGTGGTGGTGGCACACACCTTTAATCAGTACAGATGCGAGTTTGAGGCCAGCCTACTCTACAGAGTTCCAGGACAGCCAGGGTTACAGAGCAAGGTTGGCCTAGAGTAATGGAATCCAGAACTTTGAATAGGTTCTCTCTTAATAACCAGGAAAAGCTTATAATTACAGGCTGTAAACAAGTCACAGATAAATAATACAAACCTGCAGCAAATCCATCAAATATTCTGTTTTTTCTTAAGACTGGATGACTATTAGTGCTGATAAGAACACCTGCTTGAGCGTTCCTGAAAATATCATTTTCTTCAAGGAGACCTATAATTAAAACACTTAGATTAAAGGCTAATGTATACAGCAAACACTGTTGAAACAGGGTCTTAATATGTAGCCAAGGCTGGCCTCCTAAGTTACAGGCATGCACTATGCCTGGAGCACAGGGGCTAATTTGACTAACATACCTTGTGGTATATGGCTTCTTCCTGTTCTTTAACTCAAAAGGAAGTAATGTGCAGAATTCTCATCGTTTCCTTATTTATTCCTCATTTGATGACTTTCTTTCTCTGCTCATAAATCTAATTTTTGAATGGTTTGAAATAACTTGCATTTGAAGTCTTTTAAGAGTCTCCGAGCCGGCCGTTGGTGGCGCACGCCTTTAATCCCAGCACTCGGGAGGCAGAGGCAGGTGGGTCTCTGTGAGTTCGAGGCCAGCCTGGTCTACAAAGTGAGTTCCAGGACAGCCTCCAAAGCTACAGAGAAACCCTGTCTCGAAAAACCAAAAAAAAAAAAAAAAAAAAAAAAAAAAAGTCTCCGAGGCAGCTGTCTGCCTCTTTTCTGTCCCCACTCTCTTGCTGTCTCTTAGCCCCCAGAAGAAAAGAGTATTCTGGTTATTTGTCCCGTTTGACTACATTACTGTGCATTTGTGAACCTTTGCTTTACATTATTCCTGGAATGCCTTGTATGCTTCCATACTGTCATGCCTACCATCACTTCTGAGAGGTTTTCACACCTTACACCACTCTGAATGTGTGCCAAGGAATCAAGACTTAAATTCTTCAAACACTTCCATGGTAAAGTACACTAGTAAGTAACAGCTATTACACAATCTGGTTTTAAGTGCTGAAGAGATGGCTCAGTCATTAAGAACGCTGGCTGTTTTTCCAGAGGACCTGAGTTTGATTCCCAGTACCACATGGTGGCTTATAAACACTGGTAACCCTAGTTTCAGGGGAACCAAAGCCCTCTTCTGGCCTCTAGATGCCAGGTATGTAAGTGGTGTGACTTCCATGGTCTGTTTTTGTACTGGTGTTCCTCTGTTCCCAGAAAGTAGACTTATTTCAGTAAACATTTGTGAAGGGCCCAATGTACAACTGAACACCACCCCCAGCACATTTCCACCTAATTAATTTGCCTTCCATGTTTGTCTGTGTGCCATATGCAAGCCTGGTGCTCAGAAAGGCTTATAGGATATTAAGATTCCCTGGGATTGGTGTTAACAGACTTCAAGCCACCATGTAGATGCTGGGACTTGAACCCAGATCCTCTGCAGGAACAGAGTATGTGTGTGTGTGTTGAGACAGGATTTCTATATACCAGGCTGGCCTTGAACTCAGATCTGCCTCTGGAGTGCTGGAATTAAAGGCATGTACCACCACTACCACCCTGCCAGACAGGGTTCTTAATCACTAAGCCATCTCTCCTGCCCCATTCCTACCATTTTAGACACATGGTCCTCGTAACTTTTGTTCGTGTATTCATAACTTCTTGCCTACATTATTACCAAGTCCCTGCTAACCAGCCTGCTTGTCTTCACTCTCGCTTACCGACTATGTACACCTATAAATATACATGTACATGTGTGGAGGTCTCTGGCTACCCTATGGGATATGGGGACTAAATTCAGGTTCTCAGGCCTGTGCACAAGCTCCTCTAGACACTGAATTGTCTTCATGGCCTCCAATGCCTGAGGACAGTTAAAACCCTCACCTCGCCGCACATAGAAAACCTCTTAGCCAGTTTCAGCTGTCAAACTTGCATTCTTCTACACCATTTTCATTTTCCCTAAGATTTGGTTAACAATGTGCCACTCCATTTAATTGATTTTATGGATGTCATACTTTTTATTTATGGTCTTTGGCTATCATTACAAAATAAGTCAAAGGCAAACAATTATACTTGGAAAGCTCTCCATCAGCTGAACAGATTATTTTACTATAGGAACCTTTGCTCAATGCCTTGCAATTAAAGCCACCCCTCTGTACTTTTCCCCTTTCAAGATGGTTTCTCCGTGTCCTGGCTGTTCTGGAACTCACTGTAGACTAGGCTGGGTTCAAACTCACAGAGATCTGCCTGCCTCTGCCTCTCGAGTGCTGGGGTTAACGGTGTTGCCACCACTGCCTTTTTGTGTTTGTTTTGGAGAGTCTCACACTGAGTCAAAGCTGAACTTGAGGATTATGGCACTTCTAATTCAGACTTCCCAAGGGATCAGACTAGAGGTGTGAGCCACAACTGGCTTATCCTCACTGTATTTCATAAAGACTGCCAACCTCTTTGAGAGTCTGTACCACTGTTCTGCTACAGGAAATGATCTCAAGCACTGGTATATTTCTTTCATATGGGAGAATACAGAATGCTGGGTGTTGGGTGCTGACATGGTAGAATCCGTGCTTTGCTTTCAGCACGTCTCAATCTATGAAGTTTATCTGGAAGGGGAGGGATCGCTTATACAACTAATGCCTCAAGGCAAACTAGGTTGGCTTTATGGACCAGGATCAAGTTGGCTTTGTTAATTTAGTTCTCCAACAGTTACATAATCAACACTTGTTTGCTATAAAGTTGCATGTATTTTACATACTCAACTTCTCTAACTTGACTTTAATGTTTATTAGGATAAAAGGACCAGAGTGAGGGTGTGCAACTCTATCTTCAAAAACTTTACTGACAACTGGCAGTCAAGGCAGTTACAAAAGATGGAAATACTTTACACAAATTTCCTAAACCATCTAAGGATGTGGTAAGGAGGTTCATCTATTTGTAACATTTTACTTGGCAGTGTCACTGATCATTAAAGATATAGAAGAACAACAGAAAACTGGGTTTTTTACTAATGCAAAATTAACAACAATACCTCGACCCCCATTAAATATACAGATGCCACCATCTCTTCCATCATGGATTTTATTTCTTCTTAGTGTAGGATTACTATCTGTCTTAATCCAGACGCCAGCCATTGCATTGTCAAATATTTCATTGTCTTCTATACAGCCTAGACCTATAAATGTAGAATTTAGGTATGTTATTTACAAGGCATATTTCTAAAGTTTATTAATATAGAAAAAGATGATGGATTAAGCATACCAGAATTATAAACTAGAATTCCACCATTCTGTCCTCCCCAAATTTTGTTGCGTCTAATTTTAGGGTTGCTTCCAGTCCTGTGGGTAAGAAAGAACGTAATGACATTTCAGTCAATCATTCTTGTTCACTAACTCATCTTTTGTAACTACGACAAGCATCAGTAACATGGCAAGAATGAACTGCATAGGGCCAGGGACATGGCTCAGCACCTGACAACACTCTGACGAGCCTAACCACATGGGGGAAGGAGAACCGGGTTAAAGGTTGTTCTCTCAATCCCAAATCTGTGCCTTTGCACACACACCTGCCCACATACACACAAAAGGAAGTTCTTTATAAATAAATGCTTTGATTAATCCTATTTTTCTCATAGAACCAAACCTTATATTATTTTGCTATAGAGTTCTATAGCTAAACTAAGATGAGGTTACATAACTTTAGATCTACTCATGAATGAAGTTAAAGGTTGAATTTATAACCTTTTTTTTTTTTTTTTTGGTTTTTCGAGACAGGGTTTCTCTGTATTGTTTTGGAGCCTGTCCTGGAACTTGCTTGGTAGACCAGGCTTGGTCTCGAACTCACAGAGATCCACCTGCCTCTGCCTCCCGAGTGCTGGGATTAAAGGCGTACGCCACCACCGCCCGGCTGAATTTATAACCATGAAGACTCTCAGCATTCTTGCACCAGGCATGATGAGTGGCATATACCTTTAATCCTAGAATTTGGGAGGCAGATCTTTGTGGGTTTCAAACAAGCATGGTCTCCAGAGACCCTGCCACAAAAGTCAAAGTCTAACATAACAACCACTCCCAAAGATTTCTAATTCCATGAAATATTAAAAATGTGATGTAAAAAGTTATTCGTGCTGGACATGGTGGTACATGTATTGAATCCCAGCATTGTGGAGGCAGAGGTAGGCATATTTCTGAGTTCCAGACCACAGTGAGTCACAAGGTTTGTTTAATATAAACAGCATTTAAATAGAAGTTTCCATTTTATGAAATGGAGTGACACGTCAGGCATAGGGTAACAGTAGGTAGCAACTGAACTACTCTACATGGCAGAGCAGTGAAATGAGCTAGCTCTTCTGCATGACATTAACTCCTGCAGTGCAAAGAGAATCTGCATGCAGAGAACACAATAGTGACTAGCCATTAGATGAGTAGTTTTCACAGTCTACATACTCCAAGTCCGTCAAAGAGAAAGCCAAGGAAACATTTACCTTATCTGCACCCCTGAATACATATGATTGTAGATGTCGTTATCTTCTAGCACACCGTGTCCATTGTCATAAAAATAAACACCAACCTAAGTTGGAAGGGAAAGAGAAGAAGAGTTCTTTCACACCACACCTTTGAAAACAGCGTTAGTGACCCAAAGAAGACCAAGTAAGTGATCTTGCCTGCTTGCCACTGTGTATCCGGTTTCTTCTCAGTACTGGTGTGCTGCCAGTCGTCACCCAGACCCCAGCCAGAGTGTTGCTGTAAACTTCATTCTCTTCTATGACGCCTTGTCCCTTCTCATGCTGGACACAAGTTAAGCTGGTTATAGCATATGCCATCTATGTGTGACCCTCCCTGAAACAGCGCTGCCAACCGCTGCAGTCTTGTCTTTTCCAGCTAGGTAAGGACAACTCTTCTCTAGCTTCGGCAACTGAACCTAGGACTCATGAATGTGAGGAATATGCTTGACCACTAAGCAGTATCTTCCAACACGTTTCTCCTGCTTTAAAAAATCTGTTACTTTATTGTGGGTGTGCATGATGTATGAGGGTGTGCACATGCCCCCAGCACAGCAAGACGGTCAGAAAACAGCTGTGTGGAGTTTGTTCTTTCCTTCCATCTTTACATGGGTGCCAGAGAGCAAACTCAGTGTCTCACAGGCCTTCCCTGGTCGTCCCTAAGGTTGTCAGGATGGTGCAAGAGCCTTTACCAGCCTCACCATCTCACCCTTCCTGCTTGAGACAGAGACAGACTCACTATGGAGTCCTGGGTGGGTCTGAACTCCTTAAGTAGACTAGGCTGGTCTCAGAGACTCACCTACCTCTTCCTTCTGAGTGCTGGGATTAAAGGCATGAATGGCCCTGCCCAACATTGCCAGTTTAATTTTTTAAAAAATTATTTTATATATTGCCTGGATGCATGTCTATGTGAGGGTGTCAGGTCCTGAACAACTTTCAATTTTCCCACCTCGCTCTCGCACACCACCACAACCTTTGTTTTGTTTTGTTCTGTTTTGTTGAGACAGGGTTTCTCTGTGTAGCCCCAGCTGTCCTGGAATAGCAAGCTTTGTAAACCAGCCTGGCATAACCATAACTTTTAAAAAATGTAGCTTCTATTTGAGTTTACTCTTCCAAAGTTTTTGTAACATTCTTTGTATAGTTTTGTACTTTTTTAAAGGAAAGGAACATTCCTAAGATGTGTAACATACTAAAATTGTCTCATTTAGCAAAGTTATTACAAACTTCTGCTGTGAAACATCTCCAAAATGATAAGGCTTCAATGTCATCAGTATTTTTACCACTGTCTGAAAATGATTTAAAAGATCCAGGTGGCTATTTAATTTTAAGGCTCTCTCTTTTGGGGTGGCAGTGGTGGTTGTAGTTCAAATATTGATTCCACAGAATTATGGATTCACAAGTAGTCACATTGATAAAATTCTCTTTTAACAATACAAAACAATCAGTTGCTACAATTTAGAACATGTTACTTACTACCAGTAACAGCCTTTAGAGGTAGGTGATACAGTTAAGCTGGTATAGGCATGTGTATTTCCCAAGCTTGATTTGAATGTGAAGCCTGAGGCCCACATGGTAGAAGGAAAGAACCAACTCTGTTTTCTGACCTCCCATTTTGAGGAGTGGTATGCATTTCCCTCCTCCAAATAGGTAAAGTAGAGAAGGTTCTATCTCCTATGCTACTTGCACACACAACTACAAGTCACTCATATACCCAAAGGAAGAACAAAACTAGTATTTGTCTACTACTAAAGGTACTAATTCATAATCCAAAAGTCCAATGTGCTCTTCTCAACCCTGCCTGAATCCCTCCCTCCCAGCAATTTTCCATTTCAGCCACTTTTATTATGTAGTAAGGCTAGCCTCAAGTTTTGTTTGTTTTTTTGCACTTCAGTTATTTATGCCCCTACTCACCCCAGAGATTCTTCCTTTCTGACTCCCCAGTGGTGGAATTACAGCTACAAGCCACCACACCTCATTATGCTTTTATGGCAAGTGTACTGCCACCAAAGCCACCTTGAAGGCCCTGCTCTGAGCCTGTGATTGTGCCGCCCTAGCTCTGCGCTAGAATTACAGGCCAAAATACCCAGCTGCCCCCACTTTTTCCTTTCTTTTTTAAATGAAAGGGTTGGGAATTTAATAGTATTTTAATATAAGGCTTGACCAGGAGTTAAGAGAAACAGGTGCTTAGAAAGATGTACTTAAGAGCAAGCCCAGGGGCTTCAATGAGTCACTCTGTAGGGTTTCCTTCCTTCCCTTCTATTTTTTGAGGCAGGGTCTCATGTTATCTAGGCTAACCATGGATTTGCTTATATAGCTGACAATTAGACCTTGAACTTCTGATCCTCCTGCTGCCTCCAAATCTGGGGATTATGGGCGTGGGCCACTAGCCTGGGTTTAAGTGGTGGTGGGAACTGAGCTTACTCTAGCTAGGCACTCCACCAAATGAAGCACATCCCTGCCATGGGCCTTGATCTCATACATGAGTTTACAGAACTATATTCATTAACTTACCACATAAATGCCACCATGCTGTCCATCATGGATTTTGTTATGTCGAACAATAGGACAACTGTTTGTCCTAATCTGAATTCCTGCTAACGCATTGCCTATTTAAAAATAAAATTCACAATGTCAATGTTTAGAGCCCAGTAGTGCACAGTAAGGATTTTACATCAGGCAGCAGTAACCGCTCATGTACTGGGATCTTAGGAACATTACAAGCCAACACCAAGAGGACTAGAGTATAAGTAGATGTAGAAATGTCAGATTACAGCGATCAAACGAGGTCGCCAAGGATTCATTTCCAATGTGACTTTGAGCCAGTATTTCAGACTCTTCTTGCCTGTTTTTTGATTAACAACTAGAAAAATACCTTGTGTCTGGCATTAAACAGGTATTAAATAAAGCTTTAATGAGGACTATTTTCCTTCTTTAATGAGTTCAAAGTATAGTGAACTTCAACCAACATTGTTTATTAGATATTGAGTGAACGTAAAAAAAATACATATTCCTTAAGACTAGGGTCTTATTTCTATTTCCCTGTGATATTTGGCATAGTGCCTTGTATATATAGCATTGAATGCTTAAGTACCAGAGAATAATCTTTGAGAATTTATTCTTTTTAAAAGATTTATGGGCTGGGGAGATGGCTCAGAGGTTAACAGCACTGACTGCTCTTCCAGAGGTCCTGATTTCAATTCCCAGCAACTACATGGCGGTTCACAAACATATACAATGACATCTGGCGCCCTCTTGTGGCCTGCAGGGATACACAGAAGCAGAACACTATACATAAAAAGTGCTCTTACCATCTCTCTAGGCCCTTTATTGAGACTTTAAAGGCACTAGATCAGTTCTCTCTCTTAGATAATTTCAGAATAGTCTACTGCTAATATGAAGTCAGGCTAGTCTTACTCTCATGGCCCCTGCTGAAGAGCAAGAGCCATAACTCTGCACTATGCCATGGCTGTACCCTCTATGAGACCACAAAATTACGATAAAGTGCATGGCAAAAGGAGGCACCTCACCAAACACTAAGTTTATATAGGATATGACCTAGGAGTGCACTCCGGAACTGCTCAAGATCTCCAAGGACAGGAAGGTGGACACACATCCAGATGAAACAAGTGCAGGTAACCATGAGGAAGGTGTCCTTCCTTCAGTAAGGAGTGTGCACCTGCACACTCACACAACATGCACTCACATCATTTGCTTACCGTAAATGTCATTTCCTTCAATAAGGCCTCGTCCATCACCAAAGATGTAAACTCCTCCTTGATTTCCATTAAATATAGAATTCCCCCTAAAATGTGAATTGATTACTTAGAAAAATTATATACTTAACAAACTTTATTTCAGATAACTATACCATAAGACCAAGATCATTCATGGTAACATGAAAAATCATTTAGCTTCTATGAGCTTAAAGTTTGTTAATTTGCAAAAAAATTTTTTAAAGCTGCTTTATTAGATATTTCTATATTATTATTTAAGATGAAAAGGGATTTATCTATTTTACAGTGCTGAACTAACTTAGGCCTTCTATATTGCTGGGTAAGCTCTAAACTATATCTGCAAATCCCAAATAATATTCTTTGCTGTCTTGATTTGGTTTTAATTTTTCCAGAGTCTTATTATATGTACAGGTTGGCCCCAAACTTGTGGGGCTTTCCCACCCTCTGAATCCCAACCGATGGGAATACAGGTGTTTGCTGCCACACCCAACTTCAAAATAATATTTTTAAACATTCCTTTGAAATCTGCAAAATAATTTTTTAGCTGGTTCAGAAACATGTGATCAGTGTTAGCAATGTATTTTCATAAAACCAACTGATAACTTGATCATTAAAAATAAATCATCTGGGCATGGTGGCACACACCTTTTATCCCAGCACTCAGGAGGAGGCACAGGCAGGTGGATCTCTGTGAGTTATCAAGGTTAGCCTGGACTACATAAAGTTTGAGGCCAGCCAACTATACAAGGAGACCAGAGACCCCATTATAAACAAAAAACAAAAAGCCCTATGCTCGCTCTGGTTAGATTCTAACAACTCTGTATTACAGGACTGACCAATGGTTCCTTTAAAACTTGCTCTAAGTTTGCTTGTTCTCTTACTGTGAATGGGCAAAAGACTTAGAAATTCTTAGTCTCTCTGTCATAGGGTCTCTGAGATAATTAGCTTCCTCAGTTACACTATTTGCTGTCTTTTATCAAAAAACAACAGCAAACCAAAGGCATTTATGTTCTAGGAAGGATATAGATCTATTTATTGACCTATAACATGAGTCATTAATAAACACCTATAAATGTGTATTTTGCCTACAAGTATGTCTGTGTGAGGGTGTCAAATCCCCTGGAACTGTTTACAGACAATTATGAGCTGCCATGTGGGTGCTTGGGACTTGAACCTGAGTCTTCTGGAAGAGCAGCTCTTAACCACTGTGCCATCTCTCCGGCCCCACACAAAGAAATATTTTAAGCCAGGTGGTAGTGGCAGCACACACATTTAACAGAACTTGAGAGGCAGAGGTGAGGGGATCTCTGGTAAGTTTGAGGCCAGCCTTGTCTACAAAGCAAGTTCCAGGATAGCCAAGACACACAGAAATTCTGCCTCAAAATGTCCCACCCCCTGCCAACAAAACATTTAAGAGTTAAAATTCAGTATCTTTTTTGGGAGGGGGGAAAATCAACCTATATCTGTAATAATGCAAATACCTTATTGTTGGGTCACTATTTGAGGTAATCCATACACCTGCAAAGTTGTTCGCATAGATTTTATTCTCTATAAATTGTCCTCTTCCTTTTTCATGGACATATATGCCTCCAGTCTGCCCATGGTGGATTTCACATCGAACCACTGTGGGGTTAGCATAGGCTTTTACTTCAAAGCCTGCTATCCTGTTTCTGTGTATGTTGCAACTTTCAAAATAACCCTGGAAAAAAAAAAGTTGAAATCTATATATAAAGGCTACTTTCTAAATAGAAATGAAAAATATACACTGATGTTCAAATGACAATACAGAAACTATGCACAGAATATGTAATTATTGTAAATGCATTCAACAGTAGTTAAGAAAAACAGATAAAGATCTATTTAACAAATGTAATTACTTAATATGTATTATCTTTTAGCCAAAGGCTGGAGTCATTAAAGAAAATACATGTTGATTGCCTTTCAACACCAACAAATGGGGTTGGAGAGATGACTTAGTAGTTAAGAGCACTTGCTGCTCTTGCAGAGGACCTAGGCTGGGTTCCTTGCACCTACATGGTAGCTGATAACCATGTTTTTAACTCAAATTCCAGGAAATCCAATCATGTGTTCTGGCCTCTGTGGGTACCAGGGATACATCTGGTGCATATACATACACAGAAACAAAACACTTATTATACACATCAATTAAAATTTATCAGTTGGTTGAGGGTTGGGAAAATAAAATGCCTATCATATTTGATTTTCCAAAGCATAAAAAGAGAAAAAATAGCTTTATAAATCACCTTCTAAAAGATGATCTGCCATTAGGAACTATGGGCCCAGAATCTAGCTAACTTGGAGGCTGATGCAGGATCACATAACCTGATCCCAGCAGATCCGGCTAGCCTGCACCAGAGGCCTAGTCTCAAAACACTCACCTAAAACACCCATTACATATGGTGGTCTGGGACTCTAGCACTTGGCAGGTAGAGACAGGAGGATGGAGAGTTCAAGGCTGGCCTTGGCTAAATAACATGTTTGAGATCAGCCTGGGCTATATATGAGACCCTGTCTCAACAAGCATTAGAAAAAAAAACAAAAGGTTCATTCGTCCTAACCCAATGGAACTAGCCATATTTTGCTTTAAAATGTAGTGTAAAGAAACATATCTATTTTGTTAAGATACAACTATGGTATGAACATAAAATGGTTAAAAAGCCAAACTGTAAAATGAATTTGTACAGAACACTGCTTTGTAACATAAGACCACAAAAGCTATAATTATAATTTTTGATGTTAAATCATTCTTACTACCACAAAGAAGTGCAAGAGACACACACGAAACCTCTCCAAATTAAAGAGCCAAAGCACAGTGGTGCATGTTTTTAGTTCCAGATCTCAGAAGAATAAGGCAGGAGGATCTTTAGTTCAAGGCCAGCCTCTTCTACACTGCCTTAATAAAATTAGAGGGAAAAAAGAAAAAGGCTACTTTCATTGAAACGACATCCACAACCCAAATTATAATTTATGGAACATCTGCCAAATGCGGCACACTCTGGGTAAAGAGGACACTAGACTAAAGTTACTTCATGATGTCTTGGAGCTAGTTCTCCTCACTGTAAGGGTGTTACTAATCTACTGAAGTTATCAGCTCTAATGGCATTCCAATGTGAAATTGGTTTGCCTCTCTGAAACTCCCATTAGCAGGGATTAAGACTTAAGGTAGGGCTGGAAAAATGACTCAGCAGCTAAGAGCACTGGCTGCTCTTCCAAAGATAGCTCCAACATGGTGGCTCACAACTGTAAGGGGATCTAGCGCCCTCTTCTGGGCTCCACTGGCACTGCACACATGTGGTGGAGACACACATGCAGGAAAAGCACCCACACACATAAATGAAAATGAAGGGGGGTGCAATTAGGAGGGAATGAGCTGCTGATTCTGTTCATAGGTAGCGCTCCACTCGTTTGTACACCAAACCAACCAACCCAAAGCAAGCTCTCCAAAGATGTGGGACAATAAGCCGGTTGTGTTCAGAGGCATGGTCTGAAAAGTAATTAGAACTAAATAGTATCACCAAGTGGAGCTTCTACCATTAAATACAGGCTGCTTGGTAAGAAAAAGCAAAGAGACCAGGGTAGAAACATTCAATTTTTTTGTCTACATTATGCTGGGTCACTTTGGATTTCTGCTCACAAGAAGACTGCAACTTCATCCTAGAACAGAACCATGAGCCAAAGTAAGCTTTCTCTACACGAGCCTGTGGTGATGATGATGTTGGCTAACATAGACAGATGGACAAGTAGGACGGGAGGGTAGGTAATACTTTTATCAAAGTATTATTTTGTTGTTTTTGCTTTTTTATTCATATTTCCAAAGACATGGCTGGCCCTTGAACTTGAGACGGGTGTGTATCCCAGCCTCCTGAGTGATGGCTAAGATTAAAGTAATGTGTCACCATTCCCAGCCCCTATAGTAATAGTTAACTGAAACAATTTAGACTTAAAAATGTAAATCTGAAGTAGGAAAATAACAAGCTCTTTCTGGGTTAAAACTTTGGCTTGGCAGTGACAGCACACCTTTAATCCCAGCACTCAGAAGGCAGAGACAGGAGGATCTCTGTGAGTTTGAGTGCAGCCTGGTCTACAAAGTGAGTTCCAGGACAGTCAGGACTGTTGCCGAGAGAAACCCTGTCTCTGATAAACAAACAAAACAAAACCAGAAAACCAACCTAATACTTGCAGGGGCTTGAGCATACCTCAGCAGTACTGTAGTCATTTAGCAAGTATGAGGCCTCAAGTCTGCACCGCAGCACCACCACCACCCAAATGCAAAATATGACTGTAACTCCAGTACTTGGAAAGTAGAAGCAAAAATAAAATAAAAAATAATCAACCGATCGACTGATCAATCAGGCATCTAAGGTCATCCTTGGCTATATGGTAAGTTTGAGGCCAGTTTGGCATACATGAGAATTATTTCAAACAAATTGTCCTCTGACTTACACACACACACACACACACACACACACACACACTCTGTAGCATATCTGTACTGAGTGCACACACAATAATAAATTAACTTAGACTTCCTATTTAAAGTGGTAAGAAGTGAAAGGGCGAGAGCCAAGTTTAAACACAAGAAAGACAGAATTTGTCACAGGATAAATTCAGAAATTTGGAATACATATTCTGAAATCTTATTAACAGTTCATCACCTCTGCTTTAATCATTATTTCACAAAAATTAACAGTCTTCAAACAGGGCATGGTGATGAACACTTTTAATTCTAATTCCATCATGTGGATTTTTGTGTTCAAGGTCAGCCTGGTCTAGACAAAGAGTCTAGACCAGCCAGGGGTAGAGAGTAAGACTCTCAAAATATAAGAAACAAACAGTAGGTCAATATTCTTCAATGCACTACACATAAAATAAAGGGGAAAACACCCTCAAACTGTGAACACCAACAACAGATTTGAATGTATGAAGGAATTATTCTTTAAAAACCTGTGTGCATGCGTGCACAAACACAGAACTCTTAAGAAACCCATCTCCTTTTTTGAGGCCTAGCATGGGTCACCAGGTCACCACCACACCTGCTTTGTTTCTGACTTTTGAAAAAGCACTGGGGATCATCCTCAGGCCCTCACACTTGCACACAGCACACATTTTACCAACTGCGCCACCTCTCTGTTTTAAGAGGAACACTGACATGGGCACTGTGAGAGGAACAAAAGTCCCCTCCTCACCTTTTGACACTGGTGGAAAACTGAGGGCTTCAAGTGCTCTACCACTAAGTCATAATCTCAGCCCCAGAATGCGAGATAAATGCTAAAATATTTACAAAATAAAGCTGTCTTGGATTTTATCAATCCCAGTAATGCTCAATTTTGTTTCTAATTGATTCAGCATGTGAGGAAAGCAACCCAGCAGAACCCAGGAGGTAGTGGAACAAAACTGGTTGTGAGCTATTTGTGACCCATCCAGTTCACCACATCATTTTCTCTTCTCTGTGAAGAATCATACAAAACATTCAAATGAAGTCACACAACACTTAAAGGAAAGGAACACAGCAATAAATAACAGAAGGAGTCAGGTTTCTAAAGAAAACATATGAAACAGAAAAACTGGAAAACATCAATAAAACCAGGATATGAAGACAGACAAAAGCAAACCAGCACCAGATAGAGAGCAAAAGTTCTGAGCCACACTGATGCTAAGAGGGGAAGATGTCAGCATAGCTGCAGACTCCACTAAGTTCAAAGGTAACCAACCGACAGGCGCTTTCAAGGGGTAGACACTCCAGACCCTAAGCTCTTGTAAGAATGAAGGGGGGGGGGAATGGCTAGCTGACAAAATGCAGACACATACCAAGAATGAACCAGAATGCAAAATTCAGGAACGGAGAGTCGGAGGCATGGGAAGAATATAAAAAACAAATACAAAGTAAATTCAGACCCGTAACTGCAAGAACAAAAACCGTTTTCAACATTGACAACGGAATTTGTAAGCCGGGCAGTGGTGGTGCGTGCCTTTAATCCCAGCAACTTGGGAGGCAGAGGAAGGAGGATCTCTGTGAGTTCGAGGCCAGCCTGGTCTACAAGAGCGGGTTCCAGAACAGCCTCCAAAGACAGAGAAACCCTGTCTTGAAAAACAACAACAACAAAAAAACAAAACAAAGGAATTTGTAGGGTTGGAGAGACAGCTCATCCATTGAGAGCACTGGCTATTCTTGCTCACAATTGTCTGGAAATCCAATTGTAGAGGATGACACCCTCTTCTGGCCTGTGTGAACATTGCATACATGTGATAGACGTACACATAGGCAAAACAGGTTTTAAAAAAAGCCTAGGCATGTTGGTGCATAACTTTAATCTCACTGCTCAGGATGCAGGAGCAGGAGAATCTCTGTTAATTTAAGTGTCAGCCTGGTCTACACAGTGAGTTTCAAGCCAACCAGGGCTACACAGCGAGACCCTGCCTCAAAAAAACCAAACCAAGCCAGGTGGTAGTAGCACACACCTTTAATCCCAGCACTCGGGAGGCAGAGGCAGGAGGATCTCTGTGAGTTCGAGGCCGGGCTGGACCGATAGCCTCCAAAACAATACAGAAAAGACCGAAAAAACAAAAAACAAACCAAAAAAAACCAAAAAAACAAAAACAAACCAAACCCCAAAAGATTTGAGTGATGGGATAAAGCTAGTTGAAAAGTTTATTTCCCCCCCCCCATTTTCTTAAAATAGAGAAACTCAAGCACACAACTAACAACAATAAACTCTGAAGTTGTAGCAAAACTTTTATTTTTTTCTACTTTCTTTTAAAGCAAAGTTTAAAGTAACTGTCAACCACAGATACTTCATAAATGAGGGGCTTGTAATCAGGCTAATACACCTCTGTACCTCTAAATCACTGTGAATAAGACACAGTATTCATGATACTTAAATTACATAATTTCTGGACACACTCTAAGGAAAACACAGGCAAAACTATCAGCATACAGTTCCATTACCAAATGTGTTTCCAAGGGAGAGCAACTGCCTAATAGTCTTGTTTCAATGCCCTTGGTATAATTATCCAACCCCCCTCTCTCATCTGGCAGTAAAGAGCTACCTTATTTATTATTACCCCCCTCCCCCAATTAGGGAGTTGCTATGAAGCTCAGGCTGGCCTTAAACCTGTGATCCTCCTGCTTCTTCCTCTTGCGTGCTGACATACGTGTGAACCACTATAACCTCCATTCTGCTTTTCTTTTTTCTTTCAAGACAGGGTTTCTCTTTTTCTGTGTAGCCCTGGTTGTCCTGGAACTTGTTCTATAGACCAGGTTGGCCTGAATTTTAAGTGGATCAGTTTTCTCAGATTATAGTGATAAAATGGGTAAGCCAATCTAAGAATTTGGCTTCTGAACTAAACTCCTTAGAACTAATCAACATTTGAAAAACGTTACTCAACATAGTTTATAATTCATCCAGGATCTGTTTTAGGGTTTCAGGTATAAGCGATGACAATTTTTCGATGACAATTTTTCCATAGACAATATGAACCCAGAATTCTCAGGTAGTTCAATACATAAAACAGCAATCAAATCTCAACATAATCCCATTTGTCACCACTTTTCTCCCATTTCTCTGATGCCTACAATACAAAATGTTGGCAATCCGTATGAGAACCTGAAAATTACCTTAAGAAAAATCAGACACTAAATCAAAAGAACATCTAAATGAGTATCTATGAATACTACTTTTGTTGTTGTCTTACTCTGTAGCCTTGACCTGCTTGGAAATTGCTTTATGGCCCAGGCTGCTCTTAAACCTGCGACCCTCCTGCCTCCAGTGTTGTGCCATTACATCAGTCTGCTATTAACACTATTTTGGAACAATGACCTTAGAGAAATCAAAAGTCAAGACTAGAAAATTGTGGAAAATAAGGAGCCAAATTTAGAATTTCTGCCAGTTTTACAACAGATAGCCTATTCTTTATATTGGCTTTGAATTTATGGAAGTTAAATGATGGTTTTTGTGGGTTTTCTTTTCTTTTTCCCTAGCTCTATTCTAATGTATCCAAGGTTGGTTGTGACTCCAGAGCCTGTGCCTCTACCTTGCAAGGCTGGGATCATGGTACATGGGTATATGGTATACCCTGCTTAACATTTTTCCCCCACAGGAGAAGTAAAATGAAAATCAAATTAACAGAAGAGGCTAGGTAGAACACTTGCCAAGTATTCCCCATGTCCTAGGTTTGACACCTCAACACTGTTCCCTACCAAAGCCAACCAACCAACCAACCAAATAAAAACCCTTAAACAACTGAGACTACTGCTTCCAAAGTAAACACATTACAGATAAGCTACATTAAAAATGCTTTTCTTTGGCCTCATTTTTGGAGGGCACGGAAATTCACATTCACACACACCCACAGACACACAAGCACACATACATACACCCCTCAACAACAACCAACCCCATAGGTTTCCATGTGATTTTTACATACATTCAGACTTGAAATTAACTGCTTGATTAAACTTCAATGATCACATCAATGCTCAATCAATTCCACAATAAACGTATTTTTCTAGGTATGACTATTTGGGAACATGGATTTATAGAGTGAATATTGTATGAATATAAGGATACTTCTCAACTCAGATAATCTGATGAAAATAATGCTGAAGTATGAAATGTTAATTGTCAGAGCCGGCTTTTATCTTAAGAACCAATCTTACCATGCCATGATCGAATGTGAATACACCAACATCACGTCCATGATGAATGTGATTCCGTCTAATAATTGGATTTCCATGATTTTTAACCCAAATCCCAGCTAACGCATTATTGGAAATTTCATTATCTTCATATATTCCCTACAACAATGAGAAACAAACATTAGTGCAGTTTCAAAAAAATTAATAAAAAAGAAAGTCCAAACTACAAAAATACCTGTGCATGATCTGTTATATAAAGTCCGACATTTTCACAGTCACTGATGTTACAATGCTTGATAGTGGGACATGCTCCTTGACCACTAACACATACTGCAGAACCAACTATAAGAAAAATTATTTATTCATTAAAAAACCTCCTGAGTAACAACAGTGACTCCACTTTACACAAAACACAAAGGCAACACAAACCTGTACATGTGCTCCGGATGATACAGTGGTCAATAATAGGGCTGCAGTTTACTGTAATCTCTAAGCAATGGTGTGCGTTGTGATGCTGAGCGGATTTGTCATCGGGGTTGAACTGAAAAGCAGAAACTGTATGTGAAACAACAGCTACCACATCACCTAATTCAAAAGAGGGTTTCAAAACGAAAGATCTTTCTTACTCTTATTGTCATATATCCAACATAAGCATCTTCAGAGCCTTCCATAAAAACAAAAGTTGAGTCTCTAGTGTTTTCAATGATAACCTTGTCAGCCACTTTCCCAGGTGCTGTAGAAAAGACATTTAACGCATACAGCTTTATTCTATTCAACCAGTGAGGTATCTGTGCAGAGGACTTCCCCCAAGGGCAGGGCCTCAGTATCTGGCTCAGGATAGTCTCAAACTCAAGATACTCCCAATGCCTCCTCCCAAGTGCCCAGGACAGGCCTATGCCACCATGTAAACCGAGAAGGGACTTAAAAAAAAATATATAAGTTAGCATTGGACTGGAGAAAAAGCTCAGTGGTTAAGATACTTCCTGCTCTTCTAGAGTCCTAAGTAGAGACCTAAGTTCAATTCCCAGCTCCCACTAGGTGGCTCACAATTGCCTGTGTCTCCAGCTGCAGGGATCTGGCCCTCTCTTCTGAACTCCAAATACACACACACAAATACATAAATTTAAAAGGTGTCAAGTAGCAGGACTAATATTGATCTTTTAGTTAACTATGCTTTGTTAGTATTTATGACAAATAATCATATGTATTGGAGATACTGTTTGATTAACACTATATCCAAACTCATATATGGTAATACTTCTAGTAATATTAAACTATAAACAGTAAATATCAAATACAGGAACTACTAAGAAATAAACAGTCACCGTCACCAGAAGCAGCAGCTCCAGGAGAGAAAACATCTCTTTATAAATCAATTAATTTTGAATGGTGAACTCAGGTTTTAAAGTTACAAGTTTAAAATTAAAAGAAGTCAAGTTTCTCTTTTTGGGTGTGGGTGTTAGAGCTTGAACAGGTTCTCACACATGCTAGACAACCACTATATTCTCAATCTCCTCTCCTCTTTATAATGGAGATAGGGATGGGAGCAGAGAGGCGGGAAATAACTCCTTAGTATTTTAAAGAAATACCTTATTACATTAAATGTTAGAAACCTGATTAGCACAAAAAGCATTTAAAAGCTAGAATTTGTTTCTTTAAACAAAGCAATAAGAGCTAGAGATAGAGATGGCTCAAAGGACTTAGGTTCAGACCCCAGCACCCATATGGAGGCTCATAACCATTTCTAACTCCAGCTTCAGAGGATCTGATGACCTCTTCTGACCTCTGAAGGCACCAGACATGCACATGGCACATATACATGCATACATAGAGGAACACAAAATAAAATAAACCTAAAAGACAAAATAGCACAGCAATAAAAACATAAACATCAGTGCTGGGGAGGTGGCTCGGTGGTAGACACTTGTTGAGTGAGTATATACGAGGTCCTGAGTATGAGCCTCAGCAGCAAAAAAACAAAACCAAAGAACACAGCACGCTTTTTTTCAAAGGGGGTGGGGGACTACACGACTATGTTTTCTCTTTCAGTGAGTAACTGAGAACAACTGGAGGGATCAGTGACACTAACACACACACATCTGTAATTCTAACCCTGTGCTTCCGTATACAAAGTACTCCCACCACTGAGATATTAAAGTTCAACTGGACTTTAAGTCACTAGCACTAAAAAAAGCCCCAATATGTAAATTAAATAGGAACAAAATGCTAAAATTCTAACAATAATGAGTTTCAAAATACCTGCACCAATCATAGTGATTGGAGATTCAATATATATCCATTCATCAGTATATATTCCAGAGTGAACAAAGATAAGCCCATCAAAATGTGCTTCCTGTACTCCACCAAGAGCATCTTCAATAGTATCATAATACTAGAAAAAAACAGAAGTATCAGTACAGAGCAGTTACTATCTAAAGTCATAAAAACACAAATGAGACACGATTAGGTGTGTCCACAGTAGTACAGAACATGTCATATAAGAATGGAAAGGGAGACATGGGGGAGGTCAACAGAAACACATCCTATCTGAAAATGCTGTAACAAAACCCCATATGCCAGTTAAAAAATAAAAGCGAACATACCAGCATATTTTCTCTTCCTTTGTATCTTGCAGGGTTACTGTAGAAGTGCTCAGCAAATCCCGGCTTTACATGTGCGCCTTTATACTGACAAATCAGAAACAAGACAGAAGAGTATTATAAGTCAATGTACCAGTGTAACGCTTACCCCAACTCATGTCAGTCATACAGGACAATGAAGAATCTAGTCATTACTATCTAGCAAGACAGGCACACTCAAGCAGAGGCCTCTGCCAAATGTGATACTAAAGACAAGTGTCCTCTTGTGCTTTGACAGTGTCTCAAGACTGCCGAAAGTTTCCCAACATTTAAGAACCACTCAAAATGGACTGCAAGAAAGTTAAAATATGAAGGGTGTGCTGTATGCCTTTAATCCCAGCACAAGTGTGTGTGTGTGTGTATGTGTGTGTGTGTCCAATTTGCAATCTATTATTGGATACATTCATTTATTTAATTAAAAGCTTTAAATTAGCCGGGCAGTGGTGGTGCACGCCTTTAATCCCAGCACTCGGGAGGCAGAGGCAGGCGGATCTCTGTGAGTTCAAGACCAGCTTGGCCTACAAGAGCTAGTTCCAGGACAGTTTCCAAAACCAGAGAAACCCTGTCTCAAAGACAAAACAAAACAAAAAACAAACAAAACCTTTAAATTAGGTATAGTTGTGTGTATGTGAGTGCAATTGGCCAAGAAGTCCAGAAGAGGGTGCTTGGATCCAAACTCAGGTCCCTTAAGAGTAGTGCATGCTCTAACCCTGAGTCATCGCTCCAGCTCTGGATCTATTTACAGACATGTAATATGAATCTATATTTTCTGTACTTCATACCAACTGCTGAAAACTCTCTTTCCATGGATTTGGATGCTCATATTCTTCTGGGTTAATCTGGTAGAATTTACCAGGTTCAGGATGCATCATAGGGCGTGTATATTCAAATACTTCCATATATAATCGTTTCCTGAAAAAAAAAAATCGAAAGATTTTTCTTATAGAATACTCTCTAGATCAATAAGATATTAAATGTTATCTGAATGACCAAAATTTCAGTACAGATACATTAAATATCCAAATAATAGAAATTAATTTACTGATCAGTTCCTCAGATTGTACTGGCGGTGCAGGGCCTCTGTGTTGTCCAGGTTGGCTCCAAGCTCCTGGGCTCAAGGGAGCCTCCTGCCTTACTCTGCTCGGTTCACCTTTTGTCTCATGTTGGCTTCCTTTATTTATTGTTTTTTTTTTTTCTTTCTTTTGGACAGAATCTCAGGTAACCTCAACTTTCCTATGGAGCTGGAGAACTGAGTCTCTTGCCTAAGATTATAGGGGTGTACCATACTTGGCTCAAAACCCCCAACTTTGTCTAAAGTAAAATTCACTGCTAGCAGATTTATCTCAACCTTCTAAGCAGACACCATACAGTCCATTCACTCACTCCTCCTTTTTGTAAAAGGCGTGTTTGTGTGACTTACTGGGATGAGTTTTGTATGTGCCTCTGAAAGGGCAGTGAACAGTCCTTGTGCCAGCCCTTACCTCATCCCTTACGGCTGGGAGGAGACCATTTCCAGCTCCCTACTCATTACCTACATGTGGTTATGAGAAACTGTGCAAAAAGTGAAAACATTTTCATAAATACAATGAGGAGCCTAAAGGGAATGTGCATTTAAAGTTTATAAATATAACTGTTAACTTATATACTGAACTACTAGATTTAAGGAACTATTTTAAAATTACACTTGGCTGATTCCTCTCCCCCTGCCCTTTTTTTCCCCAGACAAGAGCTTTCCTGTGTACTGGAACTCACTCCGGAGACCAGGCTGGCCTCAAACTCACAGAGATCTGTCTGCCTCTGCCTCCTGAATGCTGGGATCAAAAGCATACACCACTATACACCACTACCACCCGGCCGATTATTTTACTTTATTTTTGAGACAAGGTCTCATATGTAACCCAGGCTGGTCTTTTTGTAGACCAAATAAACTGACCTTGAACTCTGACTCTGTTGGGATTGAGATTAAAGGTGTGTGCCACCAGCCCAACTCGCCCTGCTTTCAAAAATGAGGCAACACTCCTTTGAGGAGCCTGTACCAACACTTGGGCATGTCTTCACACGACTCTTTATTTAAGAAACCCACATCCATGGTCCTGGTGTGCCCTACTTTCTTTTGAGTTATCTTTCTTTCCTCTCCCTCCCCCCATTTTTCTGAGACAGGGTCTCACTATGTAGCCTTGGCTGTCCTGGAACTCACTCTGTAGACCAGGCTGGCCGGGTGGTTGTGGCACACACCTTTGATCCCAGCATGCAGGAGGTGGAGGCAGAGGCAGGTGGATCTCAGGAGTTCAAGTGCAGCCTCAGCTAAACAAGATTCTGTCTTCAATACCACACCAGACTGCACAAATAAAACATTTCTTCCCAAATCACTCAACTGTTATCAACTTATAAACAGCAGAAACAATTTCATTTACTGGCTTATAAACATTTCTTGGGTTGACAAGTCATCCACATTTATGATAATCAGGTAACAGAGTCTATAAACATTTTAATTTTCTTTTAACTACTTAGCTCTAACTAGAAACTCACACCTCAACTTCCCTAAATTTGGCATTTTAGGCATCACATACTATATTTCAAGATAACAAGGAGGTTTTCACTTACCACAAAATTGGATCATTAGCAAGTTCACTGAAGCGTTTACACACACAAGCGGCTCTACAAAGATCCTGTTCCAGCAAATAAGAGAAGATTTTTAAAACTACTTCATCTGGCAGTTTCTCCTGAAGATACTGTTCAGCAGGTGCTGCTAAAAAGAGATTAACAAAGTGTAAGCAATTCATTTACCAAGCAATGATTTCCTCATTAAAGAATAGTTATTTATTAAACTATCTAATAGTTTCTATTTTTAATCCTATTTTCCTTTTACCTTACAAATACGTACACACACACACACACACACACAGAGTTATTGTTTGTTTTTATGTTTAAGGCAGTCTTGAAAAGTTTCCAAAGCTGACTTTCAACTCACTAACTCAGGGAGGCACTTAATTTTTCAACTCTCTAACTCCGTACATGCCCCTACTAGTCTCCCAAGTAGTTACACCACCTGGCCTGGCTATTAAAAACAAAGGACTTTTATATAAAAATAAGGCAGGAGTTGGCACTGTTCTTGCAGGGGACCTGTGTTTGGTTCTCAGCACCCATAACCAGAAGCTCACAAACCCAGGTCTAGGAAACCCAATGCCTTCTTCTAGCCTATTCAGGTAATTGTAATACCCTCTCCACAGAAACACAGACACCCATAATTAAAAATAAAAAATAAGTCTTTAAAAAAAGTCAAGGAGGTAATAACACTTAGGTCCTAACACTTTTAATAGTAACTACTCTTAACATTCAGATATTTATAATTTTTCATATCAAATATATGTTCATTTATTATTTTAGACACGATCTTTTATATAGCTCTGGCTGTCCTGGAAATCTTTATGTACACCAAATGGCTTTGAACTCAGTGATCCACCTGCTTCTGCCTCCTGAGTGCTGGGATTAAAGGCATGTGCCTTCAAAACTCCTTTTTTCTTACTCCTTAGCTTCCCATTCAAAATACCTGATAGATCTTGTGACTTTCCAGACACTCTGGCACGCTTTGCTCGATGACCAAAGTTTTCTGTAGTTGAAGTTGAGGCACCCTTCAGAACCAGAAAGAAAATTTATCAATCAAGTATTTCTCAAAAATTCTGCTCCCCTGCGTCCAGTTCTTTCACTGCAAAAACAATTACATTTAACTGACCTCCATACTGTTCTTTGTAGGACACGCTGTTCTTTTTGGCAAAAGAGTTTTTCTACGAAGTTGGTATGGACTATTTTGTGCACCAGGACCTGATTCTTCTGCAACCATATCTGCAGGAACATCATCTGTAAAAGAAAAAAGAAACATGATATCCATCTTTTTAATAAAAATTTCAAATTTGGCAAGAGAAAGGAGCAACAGGTTTTGGTATGGAATTCCAGCCAAATGGATGTCTGACAGATGTTAGACGTCTTAAAGTGCCTGGAAGACAGACTAAAGAAAGTAAAGATGCCCTAGTTGATGAGAGGAGCAGGACGGACAGTGAGCTGAGCAGACTGAGGGTGCACTGCAGAGTCAGTGCTGTGTATTAGACACCGACAGGGTGAGAAGGACACCCACAGAGGCTGCTCTGAGACTGGTGCTGGAGATGCAGAGTACGAAAGAAATCTGCCATGGGAGGGGGACGGGAGAGGCTGAGGTAGGCAGGGAGAGTCTCTCACGGCAGAGGTGGATTACACATAACAACAGAGTGAATGATGGGCAAGTAAGTACACAGGATAATGGAAGCCATGTTTCTGTTAGAGAGACGGCTGTAAACATAAAACAGACAGCAGGGATAAGCCCTTTGATGCTAAGACTGGAATAAAGGTGTAAATTGTGAACTCATGATTTTCGACCACAGATACAGAAACACAGATGTAAATATTTAGATGTGCATGGAAAATGTGCTTATCATCCTTAGCTCTCCCCACATCTGAGAACAGGATGCTTCTCAAAATAATGAGCGTGACTAATAGCTGGATCTTGCTTCTGAATAAACTTTTTACAAAAGGAAATTTTCATAATCATTGGAAAAATGGTAGATCCTAGGGCTGGAGCAGGAAAAGTACAAAAGAATATCTCGTGGCAAAATTAAAGTACTCAAAAAATGATGAGGTCATATAAAATGAGGTGGAAGTGAGCTCAAAAAGGTGAAACTATGCTGGAGCATCAAGAGTAACCAAAGCAAAGGTGTAATCCATAAATCCACAGGTACTTAGTTATCTACCTGGAGAGTAAGCTGTGAAACAGGATAAATGTCAGCCGCGTGCAGAGTGCAAAGTTAACATCATTAGCAGACAGGCTGAAGCTGCACCACTCTGTGGCACACAGTAGAATTTCTATGACCCCTGACAGAGATGCACAACATGGACTGAACTGGGAAGAATCAAGCAAGCTCAATTTCTTTTCTGAGGGAAAACAGTCTCTGTCAAAACAGAGCACAAAAGTTGTTCTGCAGGGTTCAGAGACAGGGCAGCAAAATGTGACCTGTGCTTCTTGTGGGTAGAAGGCTACTCCCTCCCCACCACCAGTTAGTGAAACCTGCAAACCTGGAGACCGGAAAGCAGGGTGTGTCAATGTTAACATCATGGTTCTTAGGAGGAAGTCTTGTTTGCAGGGCACGCAAGCTCATTGAGGTAGGATGTAAGAGTGGATTCGACTGCTAAAGGACTGGGGACCTCTCTACAGCTAATTCTCTAAGTTTGTATTAAAGCAACAACAACAAAAACCTTAAAAATTTCAATCCTAACACGCCAAAAGAAGAAAGATGGTTAAGAAAAATGACTGCAACACATTACATTGGGGCAACTGTTCACAAATCAATACATGATCAACAGGCTGTGGTGGTACAGAAGATGTGGACAGACAGGTCTAAATTAAGGAAATACAAATAAAAACAACAGTGAGATAAATAAATGTATATAAACACACACACACACACACACACACTTTCAAGACAGGTTTTTCTGTGTAGTCCAGGCTAGCCTTGAACTCAAGAGATCCACCTGAGCTGGGCATTGGTGCCACATGCCTGTAATCCCAGCACACGAGAGGCAGAGGCAGGCGGATCTCTGCGAGTTCAAGACCAGCCTAGTCTACAAAGCGAGTTCCAGGACAGGCTCCAAAGCCACAGAGAAACCCTGTCTCGAAAAAAGAGATCCACCTGCCTCTCTGCTTAAAGGCATGCTCTGCCACCATCTGGCTGATAATTTTTAACTACCAAATTAGCAAAGATACAATAAATAGCTTACATATTAGAACCATCAAGGCTAAGAGGGAGTCAATTTGAACAGGCTCTTATTGACTAACAAAAAAAAGTGATTGGAGAGACACTTCAGTGGTTAAGCACTGGCAGCTCTCCCAGATGATCCAGGCAGTTCCCAGTACCTACTGAGGGGGGTTCACAACTCTAGTTCCAGGTAATCTGGCACCTTCTGGCCTCTTCAGTCACTAGGCATGCATGTGGTGTACAGACATACATGCAGACAAAATACTCAAATTTGTAAAATAAAAAATTTGCTCTTCCTGGATTAAACCAAACCATCAGATGACCAATAGACAAGAAATGACCCCCCCCAGACACACACTCCAAAAGAAAGTAATAAAACCGCAGAACTGTGCTTTGCAATTTCTTAATGAATTAATAGACTTAGCCATTGAGTATCAGTCATCCCTAGCTAGTGTAAAAGAGAAACCAGACTTTATATTTCCTTAAGAAGAACACAAGCCAGAGGCACAGCAGCCAACTGAGCAGACAGCTTAGCTGTTACTATTTCCTTTACACATTGTTTTCAGCTAGGTGTCAGGGCACATGCTTAATACCTCAGCATGGAGTAGGCTAAGGCTGGGGTATCAAGAGTTTTGAGGCTTCTCTGGGATACATAACAAAATGTGTTCTTTTTGTTGTTTTTCATGCAGCATTTCTCTGTGTAGCCCTGATTGTCCTGAACTCACTCTGTAGACCAGACTGACCTTGAATATGGAAATCCACCTGCCTCTGCCTCCTGAGTGCTGGAATCAAAGGCATGAACCACCATCACTCAGTATTTTAACACCATCTTCAAATAAAACTCTGAAAGCTAACTTCCGCATGGGTACAGTCATATAACATCCTAAGTATTTGTGGAGTCCTTCCTTTGTGCTTTGATGTGGTTAGTTTTTACAAATGTCTGTCTGTGTCTAAAAGGGTCGAGCATAGTCTTCTTTCACTGTGTCTCTAGGTAGTAAACCTTTATCTTAGTACTCTTAAGATGTTAACTGAGCCGGGTGTTGGTGGTGCATGCCTTTAATTCCAGCACTCGGGAGGCAGAGGCAGGCAGATCTCCTTGAGTTCGAGGCCAGACTGGTCTACAGAGAGAGTTTCAGGACAGCCTTCAAAACAATACAGAGAAATCCTGTCTCGAAAAACAACAACAACAAAAAAAGATGTTAACTGAATACAGATCAAGGTTATTTATAATTTCTGGTGAATTCTTCAATTTATCATTATGTAATAGCTCTCTTTATTCTTTTCATAAAAATATAGACAAGCATCCTAATCTAAGAATCATCTTAGGAACTACCATGACCCTTTCTGAGACAGGGTTGTGTTAGATAGTTACATATCCTTGGAACTAGTGACGTAGACCAGGTTGGCCTTAAACTTGGGATGACCCTTTCATCTGTTCCTAAGGTTGGCATGCACTTCAAGCTTAATTTTTGCAAGTTGATTTGGCTTATCTTTTCACACTGGTCTGTTATAACTACATCATGCTTTATTTCCTTCTTTCGTCTTTTAGGATACTTTTTTTTAAATTTAATTTTGTTTCTTATTGTATGTGAATTCACAGGCCAGCTTTCTGGAGTTACCCCTTCTACCATGTGTTCCTAGGAATGAACTTGGGTCAGGATTGTGCAGCAAGCCCTTTACCATCCCACCCTTCCTAACTATTTCATAAACATTTTATAATATCTCTAAGTTTCTCTGTCATTGTGTTTATTTGTGAGTGTTTGACTAGTAGGTACTTTTTCTAGTCACTATGAACAATTAGGAATGTTTTCCATTTCTAAGCCACATATCTGGGTCTGTGAAAGCTGTTTTAAACAAAGTCCCAATGTCATACTTTAGCAGGGCAGTGGTGGCGAATGATTTTAATCCTAGAACTCAGGAGGCAGATGCAGGCAGATCTTTGAGTTTGAGGCCAGCCTGGTCTATGGAGTGAGTTCGAGGACAGCCAGGGATACACAGAGAAACCCTGTTTGAGAAACACAAAACAAAAAGTTGCTTTGGTGATGTTTTTCTTTACTGTAATAGAACAGACTAAAACAGTTGCCATAATTGTTTTTTCTTTTGCTGTATCATAATTGTAACCTCTGAGGACAAGAGCCCTCTTTTATATTTTTCTTCACTGCTCAGTACCTATACAGACTCAGTAAATATTGACTCCTCTGATAGACAGAGAATTACTTAATTTCCATAACTACTGAGAACTACGATCTTTACTGAAGAATGAACAGACAGGAATTGACTTAATTTTTCCTTCCTCCAAATTTATAATTTTTTAAACATTATTTTTGCTTCTTCCTAAAATTATAGAGAAGTATTCCTCAAGACAGATCTGGCACACAAGAATAGATAAAATATTATTTATTATATAAATAAGCAAGAAAATAAACAAAGTCAAGTCGGGCTGCTGCCAAATACTGACTAACTCAATTAGGGTCTTGCTATGTAACCCTCTACTTAGATATGTATGTGATCTCAAAAGCAAGAATAGCAACCAAAGTTAATATGCAATTCAACAGAAAGCTACATATATATGTAATACACATGTACACATACAATCAGAATTTATTTTTACATTTCTAGACTTTTCTTCAAATAATATATATGTGTGTTTGTTTATATATATATTTTTAATTTATTAGAATTTTCACTATGAATTGGAACCACTAGGGTAAAGAAGGCCTTCAGAAAATAAACAGGTTTCTTAATTTAAAGGTAAATATTTAACAACTTTATAATTAAGTAGCAATGAAAACTTATTAGGATACAAATAACAATCTGGTGTCTATCCAGTCTTAGGCAATAACACCTTGATTTTTATATATATATTTGGCCATCTCAAAGGTTTGCAGAACACAGTTTACAGAAATTAACATATAGAAGTTATCTTTTCCATGCACACAGACTATCTATATTCCAAATTACTTACAGAAACACAGAGCAGACTGCAAACAGTCAAGTCTGTGCTGGTGACAACCGTGTGTTTAGAAACAGCTCCGAGTCTTATGGTGCAAAGCACCACCACTTGACAACTGTTTC